GCACCATGAGTTAACATGAACTAACAATGAACAACTGTATTTACATTAACTAACGTTTAATATCATGATTATATACTGTAGTAAATGTATTGTTCATTGTTAGTTCATGTTAGTAAATGCATTACTTAACATTAACTAATGAACTTTATTGTAAAGTGTGACCAAATAATCAATACAGTAACTGATCGATGTAAATAAAAATAAAAATAAAAATACAGTGTAGTCAGTTCAGATATAGCACAGTGCTCATTTAGTAAGTTTTAATTTACTAGAACTTTTACGTTAACTGCTCTGACACAATATACTTTGTAAAAACACTTTATGTGCTGCCTGCCATCTTGATCAGATCTCACCGGAAGAAGAGACAGTACAATATCAAAGTCTCCTAGCTAAATAAAGGATAAAATAATAATAATAATAAAGATTATAATATTAATAATAATAAGCGCAATAGAAATAACGATGAATCGCTTTTTTGGGGTATTTTTTAACCTGTTAGCCTGTACTACATATACAATGTTTTGTTTTTATATATATTTTATGTATATATATTTTATGACCGTCACCAAAACATCCAGCAATGTGATAAAACTTGAATGAAAAGTTAAATTTGGTGTCATGCAAACTTATTCTATAACTATATACAATATATACAGTATATATATATATATATATGTGTGTGTGTGTGTGTGTGTGTGTGTGTGTGTGTGTGTGTGTATAAATATATATATATATATATATATATATATATATATATATATATATATATATATATATATTTTTTTTTTTTTTTTTTTTTTTTTTTTTTTTTTTTTTTTACCAGAGGATAGCTAACAGTAGCTTGCACTGGTCCATGTGTTTAAAGTTTCTTCCAGTAATTCAGGTGGCATCTTCTGTCTGGAGCATCAGGCCAATACTGCTGTCCAGAATCAGGTTTGTCTTGGTCGGGCATCTCAGCTGAGATCTGTCCACTATGGGTGACCCTACCGGTATCTGTGAAGTACCAGTGGCGTAGCTCTCAGCATCACTGATGCACACAAGCCCTCACAGCACGTCAAGCTGCAAACCGTGTGAGGGACCCTAACCTACCCTAACCCAACAGCCAACACTAACAACTAACAACCACTAAAGTGCCAAAAACCACTCAGAGGAGACCAGCAACATGGAAGAAACCGCCTAGACAACCTTGCTAAACGCATGTCAACATCCAGCAAACCATCCAAAAGAACCCAACAACCTGAGAGCCGAATATCAGCAGCACTGACCGTCACCAAAACATCCAGCAATGTGATAAAACTTGAATGAAAAGTTAAATTTGGTGTCATGCAAACTTATTCTATAACTATATACAATATATACAGTATGTACATACGAGCCCTTGATCCTTCATCGGGCACTAGTATGGCTCAGTGCCTGGGCTTCTTCCTCCGGGGCTCCTTGGGCAGTGGCTCTCTGCTGATGTCCACCCTGAATCTAGGAGCGACGCTGGACTCGGACCTGCTCTCCGTGATGATCACACGTCCATCTGGTTGCTCGGTCTCCTCCAGTGCAGGCCGGTCCAGCTTCTCCCAGAGCCGCTGCTTGATCTCGAGTCCTTGCTGAAGACTGTATCGGCTAGCGCGTCTCTTCTTGGTGGAGCCCATCACACTGGAGTAGATCTGCTGAAAGTCCTGCACACTCCGACCGTGGATGGAGAGGGGCTCCTCCTGTGGACACTCACCCGCTGAGGAGGAGACTGATGCTGCGGGACGGATGACAGGAAGAACAGCCGCGTTCCTCAGGTACCTCTCCTCCAGGGAAGTGTCCGACGAGCTGCAGGTGTCCGGCCTGGCCGCAGCTGCTGGCTCCTCAGAGGAAGAGACGCGCTCCAGCAGGAAGTCCTTCAGGTGCCCGGGGCGCGTCCTGGTTCTTCTCGAGCGCCGCAGAGTCATCACGAACAACTTCAAACACTTCTCAAACTGCTGAAACTTTGCCAAGGGAGATTTGTGCAGAAGTTTGTAGATGATCAGCACTGATTACTGTATAGACAGTTGTGTGGATGTTTAAACCAATTCAAGTTGCCATGGTGACAGAATGACGAGACTCATTTAAATGTAAACATTAATTGATTTCAGCGTTAAGTCAATTAGAGCAGCAAAAGCTGTGTGTTTACAGAACAGTATTTGTTAAATGTTACTAAATACAGAAAATATCTTAATAATCATGCATTACCATAGAAGCCCCATATACCTAAAAAATAAATATTGTCCTCGTTTTTCTTTATTATATTTTTACTTTTGAACTTCGTCATACGTTTCCACGTCAGAAGTCTGCTCACGTTAGCAGTGGCGTGGCAGCCCCTTTAACAGTGCGTGTGTGTGTTGATGCGACCCGTTTATATAATCACTTTTTAAGGACTTAAATTAATGTGTACGTCCTTAAAACATTGGTAATTAGTTCCAAAACACTACCTTACAATAGCCACAGCAGGGGTGAGCTGGGTTGTGTTAACCTGTGAATATTTAAAATTTCAGTTTAAGACTGATGGTGTGTGTGTGTGTGTGTGTGTGTGTGTGTGTGTGTGTGTGTGTGTGTGTGTGTATGTGTGTGTGTGTGTGTGTGTGTGTGTGTGTGTGTGTGTGTGTGTGTGTGTGTGTGTGTGTGTGTGTGTGTGTGTGTGTGTGTGTGTGTGTGTGTGTGTGTCTGTCTGATCTTGTTGACTGTTGTGTGTATTGTGCGTTGAGCTGGAACCAGAGGGATTACTGTGCTGGGTTCTGTCAGGAGCGCTGGGTCTCTCTCTGGTCCTCTCCTTCATTCTGGTTCCTCTTCCGTGTTTTTCATCCGAGCCGAGCCTACATGGCATATTTTTTATGTGTTTATATGTTTCCTCATTATCAATAACCAAGCAAGTGCATGATATTTAGTAATAATTACTTTATTCAGTGTCTCACAAAAAATAGTATTTTAACATGTGTTCTCAAGGGACAACACTATTGATCTTATTCTGCAATGTGCTTCTGATTCAGTTCCTTATGGAAAAAATACATACTGTATGAATAATAAAAGGCAGAAAGCGGTCAAAGTACTAGTGTGTGTGTACATGACTACAGACAAAGTAGAATGATATAATAATTAAATATCAGAGCATCGAGCAGCACAATGGGCTGTTTTAACCTCTAAAATGTAAAAAGCGGCAGTAATTATTAATAGTTTATTGATTCTGAAAATATTTAGTGATCCATGCATAAATTTGTCATTTAATAAAGGAATCACAACTCTTAGTTGTACCCCTTAAACCCAAAATATTTGCTTAAAGTGTTTTATTTTTTACTATTATTTATTTATTTATTTAAATTTTAGTTACATTTGTTTTATTTAGTATTTTGGTTTGATGTTATATTTAATGATGCTAATAATGAATGGTCTTTATTTATAATAATGATAATAATCCCATTTAAATACAGTTGTGGCAGAAGAAATAAGAGACCAAGAACTTTCTCTGGATTTATGGGTTTAAGTTAAATGTTAATAGGTATTTTATTCTATAAAGGTCTGATAACATTTCTTCAACATTTCAAATAAAAATATTGTCATTTAGAGCATTTTTAATCAGCCACTGTCAGAAAAATGAACTGTGACTGAAAAGCAAGGTTAGTAAACTGACTACTTACTGTAACTCCTCTAAAGCTACTGTAAAACATTAGTATCGTGTTGACTAAAATGAGCATGTCTGAAATCCTGATACTATACTATACTTCTAATTTACAAAATAAAACAATAATAATGACACATTACCAGAGAAATTTACAATATCTAAAATTATTAAAATCTTTTTTTAGTTTTATTTTGACAATCAATTTTTATAGGAAAAACCCACTATCTATTAAGCTAACTTTTTAAAGAAGTCTCTTCTGCTCACCAAACCTGCATTTGCTCCAAAGCACAGCAAAAACAGTCCAATTATTATTATTATTATTATTATTATTATTATTATATCTATTATTATTATCATTACTATTATTATCAATATTTATTAGCATTTGTTTAGTTTTTTTTTTTTTATTCTTTGATGATTAAAATATTCAAATAGCTGATAAACCTGAAAAAAAAAAATCTTTTGTAGCATTATATTACAATATTAAATAGCTTGGAGCAAGCAGAATTATTAACTTTTTTTCTTTTTTTTTTAAATGAACAGTTTTATTTAACAAGGATATTTTAACTTGAGCAAATGTGACGATAAAGTCATTTAAAATGTCTTGCATGTTTAATTCTGATAAATGCAGTTCTTCTGAAATTTCTAGTTAACAAAGAAAGCTGAAAATCTTCTCCCTGTAAGCCTGTCCGCTCTGCCCACCAGGATGTAGATGTCTGTCTGAAGGACTGCAGTCCCACCTGAAAGAAGAAGAACAGGATGCTAAACTACTTAGAAATAGAAATGAATTCATGTGTAAAGTACTGACTATCGTGACCTCAGTTCAGATGAATACAGTAATTTGACCTTATTTTATTGCGCATGTCATGTAAATGTGTTACATCTACTGGGATGAACGAGTTAAACAAATGTGTCACCCAAAAATAAAAATCCCCCCATAAACATTTATACACCTGACCTGAGTCTGACTTGAGGGTATACTGTATGATGGAGTAAATGTTGGGGTAATTTTCATTTTCGGGTGAACTATTCTTTTAAGCCAAAGTTGTCAATAGACCCTTTTCACATTTCTGTCATCATAGTAGGGAAAACATAGAGCGCAGTGAATGAGAGAGTGAGTACAACAAATAACTTAATAAAATAATAAATACAAACTCCACAATGGTGTTATAAAGACTTTCAGAAAAGGAAAAAAACTAGTGTGGGACTGATGACAGCAGCCAGAGGAGAGAATAACGTTCATTTTACTCTCAGCCTCGTAGACGCTGCATTGGAAACACATTGCACAATTCATTTTTTTTTTAATTCGAAGCAAGATGATATGATACATTTATAAACACATATAAATGTTCATATGTTTTTTAAAAAAACAAAACGTTAAAAATTTTTAAGGATTTCAGATGCCGAAGACAGCTAAACACGTCAGGCTTGTGAAAAGGGTACAGTAGTATTAGAAAGCTATCAGTAAATCGTTGTTATGTGTTTTGTGTCTGCTGTGTTGTCCAACAGAGGGTTCCAGAAACTGGTGGATGGTTTTTGAAGGTTGTCTGTCGCTTTCAAGATGGCCAGCCATTCTGGATCAAACTCAAGCTTCTTGTAGGAGCTTCCTCCACAATCTGCAATGACAAAACAACAGAATCTACTTCTGGATCTCACTAAACATGCTGAATGATGGAAACAGCAGGATCATTACCTGAAAGAAGACATTCGACAAGTGAGAGAAACCTGTTGATCTTCAGCAGCATTATTCATGATTCTCAGCCTGAAGAGACAAACAGCTTATTGTAATTCATTTTAAACTGATCTCTACATTTTATTCAGCCTTTTTCACACATTTCATGCCTGAAGCCTGTAACTGGAGAGATATAAAGTCAGATTTGTGTTCGCATTGTCATAAATAAAAAATAATGAAAACATGTGAGCCATTCGCAAGTACATTGTTTTCTTTTTGTTTAAAATAACTTTTATGACACAAAATTTCAAATATAGATGAAAAAATCTTCCACAGCCTTATGTTTTAACTGATATAGTGTATGTTACACTTAATATCTGCATAACTTATTGCTTAACAAAACTAAAAACTTGCTTTTATTGTAGCTGAAAAAAATAAATAAATAAGAAATAAGACTTTACCTAAAAGAAAAAAATATTTTAGGAAATACTGTGAAAAATCTTCTGTTAAACATCCTGTGTGGAAAAAAAAAACATTTACAGATGGGTGAATAATTTTGACTTCATTTTACAATGAAAGCATTTTAGTTGGCTATGTGTGAAACAGGCTTAATCCAAAGGTAACCAAAAGCTTTTTTAAAAGCACTGAGTGACAGTGAATAAGTTCCCACCTGGTGCTGCATCAGTGTTGAGTTGAGTTCAGGTGAGAAGAGATCCAGTCTCTGGCCTGCAGGTGCTCTAGAAGCCCGGAAGCAGCAGCAGGACTTCCCAAAGTACAGCTCTCCACCAACTGTTTAATTCAAGTCAGGTTTATTTGTACAGCACTTTTACAATAATTATTTCAAATCAGCTTTACAAAAGGTGCACATTACTGCATTACAATCAGATTAAGTCAAAGTAACAATCAAATTTATGTTATTGTATACAGACATAGTTATCGTGCAATATTATAGCATATAGGTCTGGGATTCTCAACCAAAGGGCCACAGCCCACTAGTGGGCCTCAACAACCCTGCAGGTAGGCCACGATATGACCTCTCAATATTATACTATAATATAGTATGCTATATTAAAATGATGGAAGTCATGCGCTTTCTCCTGTTCTCTAATTGATCACTTCAAACTCAAAACAAGCGCAAAAACAGCTTGATCTTCGATGACTTTACGCATGTCTGTTCAATCCCAAACTATGCGTGAAGTGAAAGTGAAAGTCTTTCTTTGTGTATTTTTTGTGAACTATTTAATACATCTGCATAGTTGTCTAAATAAATGTCCTGTGAGTGTTTAATAAGAGACGTGCACCACAGGAGGATCTAGCAAGGCTCAATGCATGTTTCTACCATAGAATGTAAAATAAACTTGGATATGAGCTTCAGACCAATAATATCCTGCAATCTCAACTGCCATCAGATCGACTCGTTTCAACAGATTTAAGGTGTTTAACTTTATTTTACAATTGTTTGTAAAGTTTTGATATATTTAATAGTAGATTTTCAATCAGTCCAGTTTAAAGTAGAAGCTGTTCTTTTGCAGTTTCCCTGTTGATTTGTGGTTATCTTTGAATCTGTGTATGTTTTTTTTTTTAAATAAATAAATTATATATATTATAGTTGTAACGAGGAGACTGACACGGAGGGATCCATTATGCAGTATTTATTGCTCAAGCACTTATTCACACACACAATATGCACTAACGTGCAAACACACAACAACAACAGTCTATGATGAATAAAGACTGGCGATGAATAGACACAGGGAGTATTACCAGGCATAGATCGAGGGCAGGCTGCTAGTATCAGAGTCCGTGAACCAGGTGTGGGTCGTGGGCAGGTAGCGAACATCAGAGTCCGTATAACAGGCGTGGTTCGTGGGCAGGCAGCGAGTATCAGAGTCCGTCTACAAGGCGTGGGTCGTGGGCAGGCAGAAGGCGAAGCAGAGTCAAGAAACAGGCTGAAGTAATACACAAGGAGTCAGGCAGGAATAACGGTCAGAAATGCTGGCCGGGGCTAAACAAGATTTCGCACTGAACGAGCGTTTGGTGCTGGCTTATAAAGGGTACGTAGGTCATTAGCGGGATTCAGTTCAGGTGTGCATGATCAGGGTAAATGGATGATGTAATGCTTAGAAGTCCGGAGATGGTGGCCTCTGCTGGCCAGCGAGGGGAATGACTGGGACCGAGTCAGTGACAGAGCCCCCTCCTCCCCCCCCCCAACCCCACGTACCCAAGGACCCACGTACCTGGGACTGAGCTTTTTACAGGGGAGTCTCAAGCGAAGGTCTCTTGTAGATAGCCATACCCACTGTCCTGGGGAATACGTGGGACCAGGACGACGGCGACAATCGGCTTGTTCTTTAAACCTTCGGATAGCGTGTGACAGATGAGTGTGAGCTGCGTTCCAGACCTCCTCACTCCTTTGAACCACGTGTCGACTGCAGGAAGGTCAGTGGTCTCACCGGACCAGGGAAACAGGGGAGGTTGGAAACCTAATACACATTGAAACGGGGTTAGACCTGTGGCTGCCTTTCTCAAGGAGTTTTGTGCGTACTCCGCCCACATTAGGAACTTGTTCCAGTCAGATTGGTTGGCGTGACAGTATGTGCGGAAAAAGCGCCCGATCTCCTGATTAAGGCGTTCTGTCTGACGGTTAGACTGAGGATGATAGCCGGAAGTTAGACTGATGTTGATCTGGAGGTTCTGGAAAAAAGCTGACCATAATCGGGATGTAAACTGGGGACCTCGGTCTGAGACGATTTCTTCGGGAAGACCATAATAGCGAAATACATGTTCGCACAGAAGCTCTGCGGTTTCGAAGGCTGTGGGTAGCTTGGGTATGGCAATGAGTCGACAGGCTTTAGAGAAGCGATCCACAATCGTGAGGATAGTGGTCTTTCCTTGTGACAGGGGCAAATCCGTAATGAAGTCTGTGGCTATGTGAGACCAGGGTTGACGGGGAATCTCCAAAGGTTGCGATAAACCAGCTGGACGATGACGGGAGTGTTTAGCCATTTGGCAGGGAGAACATTTATTCAGGAAGTTAATCACATCCTTATTCAGGGAGGACCACCAGTACCGAGACTGAATCATCTGAGCCGTAGCAGTGCTGCCTTGATGACCGGAGCTGGGGTGACTGTTTATTTCAGCGATCAACTTCTCACGGAGCATGGGGGGCACATATATTTTGTCCTCGGGACATGCCTGCGGAGTAGGAGTTTGTTCGGAAGCCTGCCTGATCTCATGCTCGATGTCCCATCTAATGGGTGCAATAATCAATGGGTCCTTAAGGATGGGTTCTACCTCCTCTAGCGAAGTTTCCTCGTCAGAGATACGAGAGAGAGCGTCCCCCTTAATATTCTTGGAGCCTGGAATGTAGGTGACTTGAAAATCACATCGAGTGAAGAACAACGCCCATCGGGCTTGTCCGGGATTCAGGCGTTTACATGAACGAATATACTCCAAATTCTTGTGATCAGTAATGACGGTGAACGGGTGTTTTGCTCCCTCAAGCCAATGTCTCCATTCCTCGAGTGCAGCCTTCATGGCGAGAAGTTCTCGGTTACCCACATCATAGTTTCTCTCAGCAGAATTCAGCTTACGGGAATAGAATGCACAGGGATGAAGCTTATTCGTAGTAGGGGATCTTTGGGACAGGATGGCTCCGATTCCGGAATTAGAAGCTTCAATTTCCACAATAAAGGGTCGTGTGGAGTCTGGGTGACACAGAATGGGTGCCTCCGTGAAGCGAGCTTTGAGTTGGTTGAATGCCCGAATGGCTTCCGAGTTCCATTTTAGACGGGCATTATTGGCTTTTACCATCGCGGTGAGAGGAGCAGCTACTGAACTGAAGTTTCTTATGAACCGTCCGTAGAAGTTGGCGAATCCCAGGAAACGTTGTAACTGCCGGATGGCTTCGGGTTGTGGCCATTGAGTGACAGCGTCAACTTTCTGCTGATCCATAGCAACTCCCTCGTGACTGATGATGTAACCCAGGAATGAAATACATGTCTGATGAAACTCACATTTGGATACTTTGGCATATAATTGATTCTGGATGAGGCGTTGTAGCACTGCTCTGACATGTTGAATGTGTTCTGGTAGGGAATTGGAGTAAATCAGGATGTCGTCAATGTATACGATGACCCACTTATTGAGCATGTCTCGAAATATCTCATTGATAAAGGCTTGAAACACGGAAGGACTGTTAGCTAGGCCGAAGGGCATAACGAGATATTCGTAGTGCCCGTTATTGGTAGAGAACCCGGTCTTCCACTCATCTCCTTGGCGAATACGAACAAGGTTGTAAGCATTACGGAGATCCAATTTGGTGAAATATTGAGCAGAGCGGAGCTGTTCAAGTGCTGCTGGAACTAGTGGTAGGGGATAACGGTATTTACTGGTTATTTCATTCAGACCTCTATAATCAATACAAGGGCGTAAACTGCCGTCCTTCTTCTTGACAAAAAAGAACCCGGCTGAAGCAGGTGACGTAGAAGGTCTTATGAATCCCTTCTCCAGTTCCTCAGAGATGTAAGAATTCATGGCTTCGGTTTCAGGTTGAGAGAGAGGGAATATGCGACCACGAGTGGGCGTGGTGCCGGGCAATAGTTCGATGGCACAATCATACTCACGATGAGGTGGGAGTTTGGTTGCTTTTCTCTTGTTAAAGGCTTCGAGTAAATCGTGATACATTCTGGGAACTTGACAGAGTTCAGAATCCTCCAAACTAGAGATAACATTAATCTGAATGGTAGATACGGAGTATAGACACTGGGTTAGACACCTCTCACTCCATTTTACAATCTCACCCGTCTTCCACGAGACTTGGGGATCATGACGTTGTAACCAGGGGAGTCCGAGAATCACATTGTGACGGGGGGAGTCGATAACGAGAAGGGAGATTTCTTCCACATGGAGAGAGCCTGTGCGAAGACATAAGGGCTGAGTTTGGTACTTTATGTGTCCTTTCCCCAGGGGGCGCCCATCTATAGCAGTGATGGCTAGAGAGGAAGTACAGGAAGTTAGAGGGATGGAGTGAGCAGCAGCAAACTTGCAGTCAATAAAGTTACCAGCGGCTCCTGAATCGACCATAGCCAAAGTCGAAATCTCAACCTCCTCATACTTCAAACA